ACGGGTTATTAAAGTGTCTGTGTCACATTACATTTAATTTCAGGGCTGTGCTATATATTTGCCCCTTTATAATACTTGTTTTATAGATAGATAATTCGTAGCTCCAGAAGAAGTGACATGCAACCTTTGGGAATACACATCTCGAAACCTAAAGGGGTAAGTCTAGGAAAGGGAACTGCCATAGTAAAAAGCCCTTTTTTTTATTTGTTACTTCCATCCTCCACCTCCTTCTCCTCCTCCTTAAAAAAAATAAAATAAAGAAAGACAAAGACACTTTATGGTTATGACTTGGGATATTATCATCTGCCGAGAGCAACCGTGCACAGGAGAGTCTATGCGGGAATGATCTGAATAACATAATTGGAGTGAATAACCGATTTGAGGACACAGCACCTTGATTCTGCCGATTCCAAGATCTCAGGAGTACTCTGTGATTTTCCTATATTGAAAGGATGGATATGTGGTCATCACTCATCCAACATTTTTTGCAAATTTGTAGCCTATAATCTTGTCTAGTACAATATGTACTTGATCTTATTTTCTGACTTTTTGCTAAGCATTAGGCAAAAATCTTGTGATAAAATACCACAAATTACCATCATTCAAACAACTCTATTAAATTTCATGAAATCATAACTAATCTCTGAAACAAAATTTTTAAAAACATCTAAACAAATGGTCATGGGTATAAAATACAAAAGTTAATCATGAAAATTCTAGAATGCTGAATGTTCTTTTCCTTTCTTTTTAAACAACCAAAACTGCAAATAAAATACAAAGCATTTCTGAAGTAAAATCTTACATACAATGTAATATTGCTGTTATCATGTTATGTACGAGACACTATAATAATAATGATCTTTATCAACTTAGTTACAAGTCCTCTGTGCAGGCTAACTTTCTCAAAAAATCACAACTTCCATTATCAAATTTCTCTTTCTCTACTGCACAAGCAACTTGGAATCACATCAACTGCCATTTTACTGACAGTATATAATTGACAGTAATGGTTTATGTGGTCATTTCATTTCCCTACTATGGAGTTTCAACCTATGTTTTACCCTGAAAAACACACATCTTAGAAAATGACTCCCTCCTATACACATATCTTAAATAGTAATAATAACAGTAACAATAACAAACAATAACAATAATGATTATAAAGTAACAGTTACGACAATGAATCAAGAAATGCAGCCCAAAAGCTTCATGCTCAATTATCCTCTTGTGGACTGAGGAAAATTTGCCACAATTTTCCACTGAAGAAAGCAGAGGAAAATTTGCCACAATTTTCCACTGAAGAAAGCAGATGAAAATTTGCCACAATTTTCCACTGAAGAAAGCAGAACTTCATTTCAATATCAAGAAAAGCCAAGAACGTTCCTCTAATTGTAAGCGTAAAACATTCATTCTAAAATCAAATTTATAAACAAAATCAAAACCATGTATTTATATAATCTTTCGAAACCATATAAAAGTGTTTATTTAATCATATCTTTATTTATTGACTGATTCTTTTATTTTTTTATTTTTTTTACCTTTCTCCAAGTAGTGGGGGGGCACCGCTGGGGGATTAGGGCCTGGGACACGGTGAGGGGCTGGGTCGTCATTCATGGCTACAACGAACCAAAGGGAAGGGGGGAAAAATGCTTCTTTTAATAACACACACCTACGACAGTTAACATGAATATGCAGCTATGTCCTTTCCCTTTTATTTTTTGGGTGGTTATTTTATAGACTATTACGTCTTTTGCTGATCTTTATAAAAGTGACTACTACATGAAAAAGACATGGCTGCATTCTGTTTCTTTCCCCTCCACTCCAATTTCCACAACTACTCCTTTTCACACTTTTCTCATCTTTATGCATTCAATGAGCTACTCCAAGATAGACTAACAGACACACAGACACAGACACACAGACACAGACACAGACACACACACACTCACTCACTCACTCACTCTCTCTCTCTCTCCTGCATGCACATGCACGAACACAAAACACACACACACACACACACACACACACACACACACACACACACACACACACATATATATATAAACATAAACAAGCAAACACACAGACAAAGACACACACACACTTTCCCTCTCTCTTTCTCTCCCCAACCCACATCTTCACTCTAGTTCTCCTTCTCCCCCTCCTATCTCCCTTTCCTCTAGTTTCCCTATCCTCCCATCATTCCAAAACAATGGGAATAAGAAAAGGACAACTGAAAAATACAATTCTTGGCACTGACCTTTCTCCATGAAGTGCGGGGGTACAGCTGGAGGGATGTCAGTGTCGCTGGGGGGCGGTGGGGGCAGGGGAGGACGAGGCACCCGAAGAGCGGCTGTTGTACTCCTGCTCACTCACTACCCCAGAGGAGGCTGGTGACGGGGGGGCTGGAGTGATGCGACAGAGCACGGAGTATTATTTACATGGAGTGTTTCGAGTATTTGTGTTATCATTTCCTCTTATCATCATTATTGTTCATTTACTGTATTTTTTCATTTCCCCCCCTTCTTTAAACTGAAAAATTATTGAAGTGCCAATAAATCAAAAGATTATTTCTACCTAATGCAATCAGTATAAGACATGAATGTTACATCAAATTTACAAAATTACTATGCATGTCTATAAACAATTATCAAATAAATATGTACATGAATAACCTATTATATATATATATGTGTGTGTGTGTGTGTGTGTGTGTGTGTGTGTGTGTGTGTGTGTGTGTGTGTGTGTGTGTGTGTGTGTGTGTGTGTGTGTGTGTGTGTGTGTGTGTGTGTGTGTGTGTGTGTGTGTGTGTGTGTGTGTGTGTGTGTGTGTGTGTGTGTGTGTGTGTGTGTGTGTGTGTGTGTGTGTGTGTGTGTGTGTGTGTGTGTGTGTGTGTGTACTTCTGTCCAAGTGCTTGTAAGCGCATTTGTTTCTGTGTGCCTGTGTTTGGGAGTGCCTGTGTGTGTGCAAAGCCAGGGTGTGGCATTGTGTGGTTTAGTGTGAGTACAGGTGTAGGCTGTGTAAAGGTAAGGGTAAGGCTGAGGGTAAGGTTGAGGGTAAGGTTGAGGGTAAGGTAGGGTAAGGGTGAAGGTGAAGGTGAGGGAGATGGTGAAGGTGAGGGAGAGGTGAAGGTGAGGGAGAGGTGAAGGGAAGAGGTGAGGGTGAGGTGAAGAAAGGGTGAGGGTGAGGAGATGGTGAAGGCGAGGGAGAGGGTGAGGGAAAGGGAAAGGGTGAGGGAGGTGTGGGCAAGGGTGAGGGTGAGGGAGAAGATGAGGGTGAGGGAGAAAGTGAAGGAGAGGGTGAGGGAGAGAGTGAAGGTGAAGAAGGGGTGTTGATAAGGATAGAGATGTGGGTATAGGTGAGGGTGTGGGACGATGTGTGTGCATGCAGGTCCGTATGTTATGCATGTAAAGTACTGTATATTCAAGAATATAAATGTATATTGTAAATGAGCAGGAGTTTATGTGTATGTGTAATGCATAATAAATCAAATTCAAATTCTTATCATCTAAACTAAGACTGAAGTTTGGCAACATGTCTATAAAAATGAAAAGTCAAAAAAATATTCACAGATACTTAGAACTGGGATATTTAAAATACATAACAAAATAATGATGGGTACGAGTTTATATGCTTTTAACTAATAAAAAACATTTACCACAAAAAATTCATATTAATCTCTATATTTGGAAACCATACAGAGAAAAAAACAAGTGCACATTCATTTTAAAGATACACTAATCAAGAAATAAATATATACACATTTAAAGAGAGAAAGACAGAAAAAAATAGAGTAAGATGCATGAAAAAATATAATGTTTAATACACAAGGAATTACAGTATGCTTGATACTTTATGATCAGTTCATCAAAATCTATCAAATAAAGGAACAATCAAAATGCAAAAAGCAACTATAAAACACAACGGACACCTTTCTTCTAGCTTAATCTGTTAGGAAAATTACTACAGCTAATAGCATTTTAATAATATTATGCACACTTGGGATAAAGTATTTAATTACAGACTGGAGGTGGAAAGCAAGATAATTCTACATAATCATAGGCTATGTATACAGCATACCATAATTACGAAAAGAAAAAAAATTATAAGTAAAAATACTTTTCTTCAGAGATTCAGCTTTATCAAATAAATAAAAAAATAAACAAAAAATAATAATATATGAAAAAAGTTAGGATCGTTGTATATGAATTACCCCCCCCACACACATTTATGTTTTATTCTGTTATCTAAGCTTTCATGAACTACCTTTACTCTGGGGTGGTGGCAATAACTTCTGCTTAGTATCAAAGGTTAAAAAAATTATGCTTTCACTTGGTAACAATGAAAGAAAGAAGGAAAGAAATACAAATAAAGTCCCTGAAAGCAAAACTCAAAACTATGATAAATCAAAATCACTGTTCATATATATACATAGTAATACACACATCTGTGGTGACAGTAATAATAACCATACATCAAAAACTGGTGCGTCTCATGCACGTGACATCTATCCATACCCATCAATTTCCCCTAAGTAGGACCAGGGAAACTAATGTCAATAAGTGTAAATATATCTTTCAGAGGTGCTTTAGTCTCTCAGTGGCACTGTACAAAAAAAAAAAAAAAAAAGTATGTAAAAGAAAATTTCATCTAGCTAAATACTATTTCCAACTCTGGTTACAGAAAAAAAAAAAAAAGATTAACTAAAGGGGAAGACTAGAACTTCAACCACTAAATTCCTGTTTAACTATTCATGCACAAGAAAGAAGGACTCCAGTCTAAGTGTTCAACTGTACATCAAAAATTAGGCATCCAGTACTTTAAAAGGGCCATTCAATTATCAGCCAGTGCTACAAAGTTCTTGGTATAATTATCTTTTTTAAGTACACACTACTAACACACTGAAAACACAAAACCATGCATTCTAAGGGGAGCACACTTAAAAACGACTATATTAGAAGCCTTTGTTCCCATTATTTTTTTCTTCCTCTTTTTTTTTT